TTATAAATAACTAAAGAAAAAGAATTAGAATTGTTAAAAAAAAAATTAGTTAGATATAAAATAATAGTAGTCTATTAAAAATTATAAAACTAATTTTTACTTTTTTATAGTCTAGTAAGATAAAAGAAGTTAAGTATATAAAAAGAATTAGAGTTGTTAATATTACGACTGTTATATAAAGAAGACATCAGCAACTTATAGATAGCCAACTAAGTTGTCTAGGATTACCTGTAACATTAATACAAACTTTAGATAATAAGAAAAAAAATAAATAATCAAAAATAAATAATAAATTGTTAAAGATTAGATTCTCCAAACGTTCTATAAGATTATATAATAAAAATTGATTTTTAGATAATTTTACAACATTATATGATTCGCCTAGATTATATAATTTTTTAAATAGCTAAAAAAACCTGTTATAAAAGATTTTTTAGACAGTTTTGTATAGTATTTTCTGATTAAACTGTTTATTTAATATTTTATTTAGAATATAAATAGCTGTCTTTTATTATTTTAAACTAAATAAAAAAGAAATTTGAATTAATTAATAAATATTTTATTTTAAAATAAATTAAGGCTCTATCTTTTTTTGTACATAATTTTTATTCAAATTTATAAAGAAAAAAGAAATTTATATTATATCTTTTAATTAGTCTAATTTGGAAATATACTAAAATTCTAATTTTAGTTTAAATAAAATTATTTTAATATTATCTTATATTAATTAATTACATAAATAATTATATTTATAATTAATTATAAAATATTTTTTAAAAGTTAGAGCTTATTTCAATAAAATTTTCAATAAAAATAATAAAAATAATTAATATATTTTATTTTATTTCTTCTAGATACTAAATAAATCAAGCTTTCATAAATATATTTAAAAAATTTAATATTACAGTTAATTTTTATTTTACAATGTATCAATTTAATTAGTTGGTTTAATAAGTAGAATATTTTTAAATTAAATCTAGCTCAAAATTAGTTATATAATTCTTTTTTAGATTTTTTAATTAAAATGTTTTAAATTTTTTTAAACAATTTAATCTATTATATTATTTTTTATAGTTCTGTTTATAATGTAGAATTTTTAAATAGTCTAATATACTATTTAATTATTATTTTAAATATTATTAAAACTTCAATTAAGTATTTTTATTAAATCAAATATAATTTATCGATTAGCTAAATCTAACAGATTAGTATTTTATTAATTATCTTTAAAATAAAATTATTTTTTATTTAAAAATAATCTAGTCTCGGCGGCTTTTTACCCTAAAATAATATTGTAATAAAATTTAGAAACAAAAACAATATTTTTTAATTTAAAAATTTTTCTTAATTAGATAGAGAAAACTAAATATAACTGTTTTATAGCCCTGAATTATATTCTAAATATTTTTAATATATATTTAATCACTTTTTAATTATATTATATTTAGTAAATAGCTTTAATAGATTATATATATAACTATTAGAAGTAGTATTAAATATCTATTATTCTAATAAATTTATTAATAAATTATTTAATTTAAAAGTTTATTAATATATTGATAGAATCAATTTAAAGAAAAACTACATGATTTATTAACTTTTAAAGATTTTTAGAATAATTAAAATTATTGAATATATTTAATAAAATTATTTATAAATATATCTAAATTTTAGGTTTTTATAAGCTAGCTGAATTCGGTTTAGTATAATAAAATTTAAATAATTATGTAGATTTTTAAAGTTTTTTATTTATATATTTATAGTCTTAAAAATTATAATATTTATTATTATTCTAGTTTTATATAAGTATATTTAATTATATAATATATTTTAGAATTTTATTTATTAATTTGCTTCTAAAAATTTATTTATTTTAATTATTCTAATTCTACAAAATAATATAGCTTCTTCTAATTATTTATTGATAATATATCTATTTAACAAATTTAACTGAATCTAGTCATATATTTTTTATATTAATTTAAAAAATTAAAAAAGTTTTTTTCTAATTATTTTCATTTTAATTAGTCTGGACTATTATAGTAAAATAAAATATTTATTATTTTATAAATTAATTTAAAAAAAATTAAAAATTTTTTCTAGTTTTTTATTTTATAAATTTAAAGCTCTATTACTTTAGAATATATTAATTTTTGTTATTTAATATAAATTTCAATAGAATTTTTATTAAATATTTTAGTAATAATATTAATTGATAAAATCTTATTTTTCTAATTAATTAATAGATATTAATCGGTTTTATAAAACTCGAAGAACTTAATAAAATTCTTTTAAATTAATTATAATATATTGATTTAGTTTCTTTTATATAGAATTAATTAATAAACTTAAGAAGACTAGTTCTAATATAAATTTATTAAATTCTTTAAAACTTTAGTAATAATTCTATTTTAAATTTTAATAAAAAAGAGGGTTTAAATTATTTAATTTATTTAATATTAATTCTAATAGATTGAATTAAATACACAGGCTTGGTTAACAGTTTTAGATTTATTAAATTTTCTATCTTTCTATTAATTATAAATAGCTGAATTTGATTAGTTTATAGAATCTAGTTATTTATTTAATTTAACTATATTATTTTATTAAATTATTAAATAATCTAATTATTAATATTCAATAAATCCAACTATAGTCAGTTTAATTGTCTAATTATTTATTTAATAAAAAATATTAAATAAATTAAATCAAAAAGTCTTTTAGGCTTATAACTAATAAGTTAAAAATTTTTAATATAAAGCTTAATTAATTTTTATTTTTCTATACAAATTATATTTTAAAATGAAGTAAATACAAATTATATTTTAAAATGAAGTAAAAATAAAGTTGAAATAAAAGATTAAAAAATTAGAAATATTAAAGATTTTATAAATAAGAAAATAAATAAATAGTAAATTTAATATATGATTGTCTAATCAATAAAACTAATTAAACTAATTTAGAAAAATAATAGAAAATGTTAGACTATTTAAACTAAATTTTTTATTTATTAATTTTATAAATAGGAAACCAATAGACTTTCTATTTAGAATATATAGAATATTTAGTAAATATAAGAATAAAAATGTAAAAGTAGAATAAATAAAATAGACTAAAATAATAGCTCTTTTTTAAATAGCTAAATGAAAAAGATTACGACTTAAAATTTTAATATCCAGGTAATCTGCTAGTGTGACAAAATTATCTTAAATCTTATTAAAACTACAGCAGCCGGTAAAAATCTTTTATTTTATAAATATAAATATAATTTTTTTAATATCTGTATATAGGAATCTTCGGTAACTATACTTAAATAATATTTTAAATATAAAAATATAAAAGGCTCTAACTATATTAAATAATAAAATATAACTTTTTTAATATAATAAAAATCTGGTTTTCCGCTTACAACGATGCTGTTATTTTTAATAATAAACTATTAAAAAATTAGTTACTTTCTGAATATTTTTCTTATTACTTAAATAAAATTAATAATTAATATTAATTTTTGAATATTTTTGCTGTTATTAACTTTGCCTGCTAATTTTTCTATATGTATTTTATATTTTTCAAGTTTAAGAATCTTATATATCTTATTTATATATTATTGTTTTGAGTTTTTGTTTTTACTTCTGACTGTTTTATATATCTTAATCATATTATTATTTTAGATTTATTTTATTTTTTTTTGCTTGGGATTATATTATATATATAACTTACTTGTAAGCTGGGGGAGTATTAGTATTATAATTTTATTTTAGATAAACTATTAGTATAAATTATTTTTCTTCTGTTTTTAGTAAATCTTTATATATATATTTATAATGCAGATAGAAAGAATTAAGCAAGTATTTGTAAATTAATTGACCTCTTATTAATAGTGAAGACTCGCTACTGCTAATACTGTAGGGTAGTCTATTTCTAGCTAAAAAAATATTATTTTTATTAATATTTTAGTTTATATATTCTTAATATTATATAAAAACTCTCCTTTATTATAATTTTAAGATATATATTAAAATAGTTTATTTATAGTCTTTATATAAATATTTTTCCACTACTAAAAAAATACCTAATTAAAAGACTATAAAAAAGAAGTCAAATTAAAAAATAATAAAAAATTAGAATTTTATTTAGTTTATAATATATTATTATATTTTATATTAAATAAATCCTATGATTATTAATAATTAAAATTTTATATATACCAGCTTTTCGGGTCTTAATAATATAATTAAAATAATAAATCTAATTATAAATTATTATATAATTAATATACTTAAAAAATATTATATAAACTACGTATTTATTAAATAAAAATATAAGTATATACTACTATTTTTAATAATAAAAATTGAATTTAATAATTATCAAAAATATAAATCTATTTCTACAATAATATTTAATTAATATTACTAGAATTTGCTGTAAAAAGCTTCTAAAATTAAATTTTTTTAATAAATGTTTTATTATAATAAATTTCATTTAGTTCTAGCTGATTTAAAATTTTATTTTATTTATATTATAAATATATAATTCTGTAATACTACAGTTAAAATATTAACATAATCTAAATTAAACTAACTGTTTATAATATTAGAATTATACAAAATAAATAAATATTTTTTATTTTAAAAATCTTTTTTATACTATAGGAATCACTTTATAAATTAGTAGAACTAATTAAGATCTAGATCTGATATTAATAATAATTTTTATTATAAAATTTTTTAAGAATTTGTTTAGCTGTCTTTTTAATTATAATAAAGATTAATAGATTCAAAAAATCTTATACTATATATTATTAAAATATAAATTAATATATTTTTGGATTAAATATAAGACTTTTTTTATAGTATAGTTTCAAGAATATCGATAATTTAACTTTTGGTTTTCTATAATTTTAGTAATTTTAATTTTTTCTTTAGTTTTAATTTTTAATAGATTAAAAAAACAACAGCTATATAATATACCTCTTTAATTTTATAATTATGGACTATTATTTCAGTACAAGAATAGATAGAATTAGATAATTCTTTATTACATGAAAAAATTATTTATAAAATAGAATTATTTGTAAGATAGAGGCGATCCTCCACCGCAGGTGGTGGGACGCCGCAGCGACGAGTACTAGGTATAGTACAGCACTCCACGGCAGAGTGAGCGCCAGCCGAGCGTCTGCCACAGATTGAGTCTGGGCGCTCCGAGTGCGGTTTTCCGCAGTTTTCCGAATTCTGATTGATGCGCTACGCGCAAATAACTTACATACTAGCAGCATCTGACGCGAAACGAACACACAACTAGTATGTAGTAATAGAAGGGGAGAGCGTAGAAAAAGGAGAGGGGCGGTCTATTTGTACAACCCGTTGGCATGGATTTTGATTCTTCATTGGGCATTCGGGCAGCACTACACTACTTTTTGCTTATGGGTAGAGTAGAAGAATGGTTGCCAACTCAGTGCCTAATAGTACCACCAATGACGACAATATTCAAATTTGGGAATAGGCATAATGCCTGCCATGCCCAAATCTCCACCGCGAGGCCTAAAATCGTCTCGATCAGGCAGTAGTTTCTTCACATTCTTCGTCGTTGTCAGTCCTCGGCGAGATTCCATCTACCTTCTTCTCCTCATCCTCCTCCTTCTTCTACCTTTCCCCTCCCCTTACCCTCATTCTCCTTTCATCTTCAAGTGCCACCCTCCCTTTTCTCGCAGTCCTCTAGCTAACGCGACCTCCATCTAATGCATCGAATCATAGAGGTATACTTGTTCCATTATAACTTCCTTGTACATGCTTGCTTCCCTTGTACACCCTTACTGATCTGCTGCCTATGTCTGCACTGAAGCCAGCTATTGTCTGGAACCCTGCCAGCCTCTAATCGTACCTTACTTCTTGTGCGAAGAAAACACTAGCCCTTCACATAGCACCTGAAGATAGTGAATGCCGCTTTGACCGTCCAGGGCCATCGGGGATTTTTATAATCATCTTCAGTTTTACCCCCACCACCAAGGTTCGACTGTCGAACATCTGCGCCTCGACAGGTAACTGTGTCAAACTTGAGCATTTTCATGGGTTACCAATTCTGGCCTTTGAATTCCATCTTCGGTCGGCTTGTGTTCAACTGCTTGCGCAAACTAGGCTTGGACTTCAACACACAGTAGACAAAGCGAAAGAAGACGAGAGTCAGAGAGAGCTCTGAAGATCAGATGAACCCAATGACGTGCGTTGTTGCTCTAAATACTAGCTACGTGCTTTCTGACAGATAATAGACTGAATATCAGAATTGACCCCGACTCGGAATCCTCTATCTCCGATGAAGAAGACTCTTCTGGAGTGCAGGTTTCTCCTCCTTCTGAGTCTGAGAGCCATGGGTACCAGGATTCGTACGACGAATGGGCGCATCTATCATTTCCGGATGAATTGAAACCATCGGATTCCGCTTCTCGACCCAGAACATCACACCGGCTACGCGCACGTAGTCCAATTCATGGCGCTTCTTCTGCCGTCCGCCGCCACTCAACAAGGCATCACATGGCATCGGAAAGGGACTCATTTAGGCGTTCTCGTCGAAATCCTTCGCCGGACTCCCCAGAGAGCGCAGACTCGGCTGAGGAATATGGTGCTCCATATGGGCGTATGCCTCAAGAACGGAGATTTTGGTCAGCTGTGCCTCAGGGAGCACGGTACAATCATCATTCCTCTCCGCGACAATCATATGTCTATCCTAATGGGAACTCTATACCGCATGCTGCGTTTATGCACCCCAATGGCGTTGCGACTACATCGGACCAGCTGATAAGACTAGGCCATCAAGGCCAGCAAATACCGTATGGTCAATCGATGTACGGGTACAACTCCCAATCACCTGGTCCTCCTCTGCCACCTTTTCTAGCCCATGAACGTCACCCAGGACATCAACAACACCCTATCACAGCCGCTTCTCATGGACGGAACGAAGGGCACAACCCGTCCCCACATTCAATATCACACCACATGCCAGGACATGGTCCGCCTCACTATGGGCCCCATGATATGATGATACCATATCGCCCAGGGACCTATTATCCTTTCCAGGATCCTTACCATGTGGTTCCTGGGATGATTCCGCCTTATTACCATTCATATCCTCGCGCGCCATCTCCTAGTCAAGTAGATCCACTCGAATCCCCTATCCCTGCACCTACCGATACAGAGAAGGATGAAGCTATTGCGAGACTCGAAAAACTGATTTTGGAGGAAAGGACAGAACGCGAAGCTCGGGAAGCCAGAGAGGCTGCCAAACAGGCTGCAATCGAACTGGAAGCCGCCGAGCAAGCCGCAAGAGAGGCACGCGCCGCGCACGAGAAGAAAATAGCGGAGGACGCTGCCTCACAAGCAAGGGCGGAGGCCGAGCAGAAAGCTGCAGAGGAAGCCGCCAAAGCCAAGAAAGAAGCAGAAGATGCGGCTGCTGCTGCTGTAGAAGCTGCTGCTGCTGCTGCCACAGAGGCAGCGAATGCGGCAGCTGCAGAAGCTCTCGCGGCTGCAACAGCAGCCGCTGCGAATCCGCCACCTCCGGAGAAAAAGAAGCCTATAAAGTTCAAGGATGCAGTCGGGAGGAAGTTCAGTTTTCCGTTTGACTTGTGCTGTACCTGGAAGGTAAGGGAAATTCAATGTGTGGAATGCCGTCTATGGCTAAACATTATTTTAGGGCATGGAAGAGCTTATACGACAGGCATTCCTTCATATCGAGGTGATAGGTCCTCATGTCGCTGAAGGACACTATGATCTGGTTGGCCCTAATGGCGACATAATTCTGCCTCAAGTTTGGGAGACTGTCATTGAACCAGATTGGACCATAACTATGCATATGTGGCCCATACCAGAGAAACCCCAAGCCGCTGAGCCTGCCCCACCAGGAGATGCTGTCGCAGAACCCTCGCCTCCACCTGAACCTACAGCAGCTCCAGATGAGTCTGCAGTCCCTGTCGACGAGGATACCAAGAAAAAACCTGATCAAGCAGGTAGGTCTTTTATTTTCAAACTCATGCAAAGACGTTCTACAATGCACTTGCATGCCACCATGTTCTCACCAATAACATTATACAGGTCCTAAAAAGCCACGGGCGAAGGCTCCGGACCCTGGTGCTTTTGCAATGTGGATGGTGGGAGGCAACCGCCTAAGGTTAAACAAGGCTTTAAAAATGGGAAAAAAGCCTAAGGCAGTCCAGCACGGTATCTCCTGCCGTGTTATGTAAAATGACTTAGGAACTGTGATTCGCTCTCAGATTGCGTATCATAACATGCAACAGGGGTATCTTGCACTGCTTGCCAGTTATGATAACATTGTCTTCACTACTTCCATCTGCCATGGAGTAATAAAACAATCAGGTAAGTAAACAATCCAACAAGTCTGACCGCAATGAAGCTGATCGTTGAAACCACTCAGCAATTTGTGATGAACTCAATATTCCTAAGTCACTTAATAGGGTCTCTGCTTTAGGGGTGCATGGCTTTTCCTCCCGCTTGTTCGGGATTGGTTTCTCGTGCCCATGGCTGTGCTTATGCGTGGTCTTCCTATCCGACGTCTAGCAGCCTTGCTTGCCGTTAGAAGAAAAGGTTAGCCCAGAGCCGCCCCAGGTTTTGAAAAGTATATGAATCAGTCAACATTTGCGAGTATCTTATAATCCGACTCCCGCATATCGGCACTGGTACATCATGCTGGCTGTAGCCTTGTATATATCGTTATCTCAAACTCATAGATTCTTGAAGTAAAGGCGAAGAAGTCGATCTATGTTCCCGTTGGATTATACAAGGTGCATCTAGAAATAGTGACAGGATGATGTAACATCAAAAGTTGATTTGATACCAGTGAATTGGGCTTTGCGGATTAGATTGTATTAAATCATCTGTGAGGCTGGGTAAAGACGAGATTCTACTGTTTGGGATGGAGCGGTTCCCAAGTGAGCCTATCATTGATGGCTTCGCCCAATATATCATGTTTCTGTAATACAGGTTTAGTATCTCATCTGGTAATACAAAGAATATCAACACACTGAGTTCACTGACCGTATGAGTCACCGACCGATCAGCGATATCATGTGGGCGCGGATTGTACGGTCCAGGCGATTCTTCTCTCGCAAGTGTCTTTGTTGTGCTTGCCGGTAGCGGTGGACTTTTGTGGTTTGAATCCATCATCCAAAAAGCTGTTTTACTCGATTTCTGGGATTTTGGGTTATCCTGATACGGTTTTCCAGGCACTTCAATAGTAGCATCAATATGCTCTCGATTTGAATCATATGAACTGCGGTGTCTTTGATACCCTGAAAGATTCATCCTTGGTGGCAGAGGGGGGTTGAGTGCACCATTCTCGATTTCAGTAGACGGTGATACTTGAGCCCAATCGTTGTCGTCCCAAGAAAAGGGATTTGGTATACGTTGGATATTCCAGATATGGTTGTTGGAGGGAGGTATCACCTGTGATCGCGCAGACTTGCCTAATTCATAGAATAAGAAGTATGAGTATAACAGATAGAATTGGACTTGTCGCGTGGGCTTTCATAGATTAGAGAATAGCATTGTGACTGACCATGGTTTAACCACCATTTGTCATATGCAGCGCCAATAGCTGACTCCTGAGTCCGCGAAAAAATTCCTGGATGATACAGCTTTCCAGTATTGGCATCTGCTTTTTCGGGCTCACTCGCGACTACAGCGCGTGTGCTGTGGCGGTATTTCCTGTAGAGCGTATGTTGCAGGTGGGCTTTCTGTTTCTCATCAACAACGCTGATCATGCATGTAAATATTGCCCAAACTGGCCTATGATCGGAGAATCGCAGATTCGCGCTGCTGTAATGAAGCTGACGTAGATTTGAACCCTTCCACAGGACTCTATCGCACCAGGCGGGTATACGTGCTTTTTCCCTATGAGGTCTCAGTCCCCTGCTCACATGAAAACATGACATATTGATGACACTAACGAGGTATCGTAATGATCACTCCCGATATCGTACTTATACGTTGGAGGAAACGTGATAGGTCCTTCGGTGTAGAAGTGGAAGGCTCTACCTGCTAGCATTTGTAGGTTCAACTGAGAGAGTTGTCAGGGCCACAAAGATCGACGTCAAGCTCTACCTCGGAAAATACCTGGTCATTATCGTAGAGCTTTTGGTAATCTCCCTGAATTGCTGATTCTCTGACAAGTTGATTGGCAAGTCCTATCCGATAGTTGAAGTCCCCAAGCCATACGATGGTGTCATGATCCTCAATACTCCTGTTTTTCAAGAAGCGAAGTCCACGTAGGATGGTATCATAGTCTTTGTTCCTCTCGTCATAATTAGCGAACCCAGCAGCAAGATGGGCAGTCACAAAACAGATGCGCGTATTTGAGT